AAAAAAAATCCCTAAACCTATTCATTTCAGGTAATTCTGCATTCATAGTTAACGTTTCGGGTCCGGTGACCCTTCCTCAGAACTGAGGAAGGGTCACCAGACCCGAAACGTTAACTGTTTTCTCCTTCACAGATGTTGCAGACTTGCTGAGCTTTTCCAGCAACTTTGTTTTTGTTCTTGATCTACAGCATCCGCAGTTCATTTGGTTTTTAATTCTGCATTCATGTCCTCATAATAGCCCATAAGTTAAACAAGTCTCTTGTATGCCATTTGTCTCTCTTTCAAAGTGAATATAAAATTATAGAATTTTGATTGTTATGACCTGCCGAGCAAGGTCAGTAATTAGTCACACCTTATTGAGCAATACCTGGTTTAATATAGCTTGTTTGGTCCCAGATTGCACCGTTTTAAGAAACGGTCCTGAAAATATTGTCAACTCTGAATTCCTCAGCTAAACTACCTTTGCTCACCTGATCTTTCTAACTTATGTAGATTGAAATCCCACAATTATCACTGTAGCTTTCTGACAACCTTCCATTATTTCTTCCTTTTTACTCTATCCTACCATGTGATGACCGTTAGATGGCCTGTACACCACGCTTCATTGCTTCAAAAAAAAAGTTAGAGAGACAAATTCTAGGATCAGTAATTACTGTTGTTATGAGCTGTTGCATTGTTTTGGAACTTTGGGAAAAGATTAAAACAACAGCACTTTTAAAAGGAAGAAGAGAGGCAAAGGCTGTGACCACATGGTGGGAAGTGAAATCAATGGAGAAAGAAACGTACACTGCTGTCTGATCCAACAGTAACCTTCACAGCTACTGCCTCTGCTGTTTAGAGTTCACCTTTCCAAAGGTAGTAAATGAAGTAACATCTGCCCTTTCACCTTCTCCCCTCCCAGTATTGTCAGCAACCATCCCTCAGAATCGACAGTGACATTTGTCAGGCTGAACGATCCTTCAGATGACTAAGGATGCCAATATTGGATTCACAAGGGTTTTTGCACTGTGGGCACATTTTGTTGTTTGGGCCTCGGGATTTCAGTAGTGGAAGGTGGGGGAGAAGAGGTGGAATTTTCCAGCTCGTTTGCTTTCTCCATCCTCAGCCACCATTGTTCCAACCAACAGCTGACTCAAGGAATCCTGAAGGAGCTTGCACCTTGATGGATCAGCAAATTCCTCATGGTCAACAGCCTTCTCCATTCAGTGGTATCGATGCTTGTGCTTTGCAGTCCTTTGATTGTCCTTTGAGCTTTGGCCAGTGAGAGTCAAGAGAAGAGAACCAACCAAAGCAGGCTGTTTTCAGACATCCAGATTCAGTGGCCTATCCATTGAAGTTGGCTCTTCAAGAGCAGGGCTTTGATACTGTCAGACAACTTTATGGAGGACATTCAAGTTGGTCCAGCAGCCTCACATTTGATCTCCAGGATTTGATATGAGCTTCCACTAGTGGAAGTTCAAGGCTCTCAATATTACGATTTGAGATGGTCCAGGTTTCTCTGCAGTAGAGGAATGTGGTGAACATAGCATGCTTCTGGACTGTGACCTTTGTTGACTTGCAGAGGTCCCTGTTGTCAAAGGCAGCAGCCATTTTCCAGATGATATAGCAATGAGACTTGTGCATTTGTACCCATTGCTCAGGTCTTTTTGGCTGCATTGGGGAAATCCAATTCAGATTGGACAGTCACTTTACTGAATACGTCTGTTTAATCCTCTGTGACCTAAGCTTCCAGTTAAATACCATTTTAATTCTTATCCCACTCGCACCTTTTCTGATTTTCATTGTTCGGATGAAGCATCTGATTCTCCAATTAGATACATAATGTTTAACGTTCAATTGGCATTCAACAACTTTAAATCATAACCACTACTTCCATTTACTCAGCCACTTGCTATAACAACTCCCACAAACATTTTATTTTTTCATTTAACCACTATCTTCCTCTTTTACTTTGAGCATTTAATGACACTGTCCCACCTTCCACCCATTCTACACTTACTTTCTTCAAAAGCTATTTCCCTTCCCTCCACTCCACTCATCTCTGCACTTGCTTAATATCCATTATATCTATTCACCTGTTCCAATGAAAAACGGTCACTGGCATCAAACATTAACTTGGTTTCTGCCTC